GAATGAAAACGAAGAGCAAGTAAATCCACAAAACATGCAATGAAGAAGTAACATCACAAAAAGAAAAAAGTGTATTTTTCATAATAATGCGCTATCAATCTGTCTCCAAACACTAAACGTTCCCTATGAGCAAAAATAGATATTCCTCCTCAGAAAGTCATCTGTGCACCTTGTTTGCATCTTTATCGTAAGTCACCTTAAGCCAATCCATAACAAACAACCAACCTTTAAGTTCCGAAGTGAAACAACAAAAACTACGTAACTACCTCAGTATTACAAAGTACTTTATATAAGTATCTAAACAACTGTAAGCAATCTAACTCTAACTTCAAGAACACTTAGCGTTTATAAAAAAAGGGCGTTTGTCAGTCTTTCCCAACCACACTTACCTTCTTCTCAGAATCTTCCTTTTTTTTCAACTCTTCCAAATGTTTAGTTAACCGTTCAACCTTCTCTTCCTCTATCTTCTCCTTCACTAAAAACCAGCAAGCAAAATTGAAATATAACAAATTCATTTTTGTAAAAAAATCAAAAGCAAATAAGCTATAACCATATAAAAAAACCATACCACGTTTGTCTTCAGATTTCAAATACTCCAACTCGTTACGCAACCGATCCAACTCATTGTCAAATTTCTTTAATTGCTCCTGTTTTTCAGCATGAAACCTTACCTCCCGCTGCTCATACTGGCTGAAAAAATTCAACAGTCCAATGTTGGGCAAAAAATAGACAAATAAAGCCAGCAGCAGTGAAAAACAAGTAGAAAATGCTATTAAAAAGAAAACGATTCTTAAACACAAAGAAGAACAAGAAAAAAGAATTAGACGTCCAGTTGTAAGTTAAATAACAGATTCAAAAAGGGAGACAAATAACCGTATGTCTTTGATATTTGTACGCAGACAGAAATCATGAAAGACTTCGTTCATCACAGAATCCTTTTTTTGTTCCGTCTGCTCAATTTCTGCATCTTTTTCTTCTATCCTCTGCTCCAACTCTTCAATCTTTGGCTGAAAAATAACAATATGTAAAACCAGCACTATCAAGCAAGCGCTTCTTGTAAAAGAAAGCTGCTCGCACTTACAAAAATGTTAATAAAAGTAGTAAAAACTGTAGTAAAAATAACACAAATATGAAATTTCGTTCTCAGTGACAAAGCACAAGCAGTAGAAACGACAAAAACAAATTTCGGCTAACCTGAATCATTGCAACTTCAGCTTTCAAGGCTTCTAATTCGTTCTCTAAACGATGCAAGGCTTGTGTCTCAATCCTTGACCGTTCATTCTTAGAACATTTTATACGATTCTCGATCTGGCTTAGTTGATGTCTCTTCATTTCCACTTCCAGTTCTCTCTTCCGTGTCCGATGCAACTGCTGACTTTCAGTATACAATGCTGCTTTCCGTTCTTTCAACTTCCTATGAAATTATATCACTATTCTTACCATATACAAACAGATGATCTTGCAATAAAGAGCCAAGTATATTAATTTTATAAACATACTTGACTGTATTCTCATCCCACTTCCGAGCTCTAGCTTTTAAATCTTGTCCTCCACCTGAAATCACTCCGTTCTGCTGGAAAAGTGTGCCATCAAGAGCGATGGCCTTGTAACGATCGGAAGCACTCCCATATGCAAGATATCTAAATAGAATAAAAAAGTTAAACTTATTAAAATAAAGCATAGAGCTTGAAAAACCAATACCTAGCGTCCTCAGATGTCTCACAGACAAGAGTGTTGCCGCAAGCAAATTGTAACGCTTTCCTGGCAACCGGTACATTACACTGTATTACATCGAACAGCAATTTTACTCCACGAGGTTCAGTGAGCTCCCTTAAAGAAGCAACCAGTAAGTTGTCTAGTGCGAATAAATAAATTCCGAAAAAAAAAAGAATAACCGTAATTTTTCGTTGATAGGATGAACTTCTAACAACGAAAGTGGTAAAAATGTTTCAGGTGCAAGACGCTGTTCTTTGAGGTAAACGATACATTCCCGAGCAGTTTCATCGGTATCACAAACGACCGACATCATGTTACTCGCCAAGACCTTTAAATTGATTTTAAAGTATATAGATGTGATTGTAAGTTCTCAAACCCTACAGAAGAAGAAAATGAAAGTAAAATGACACTTTTTTTTTGTTCCTTTTAGCATTTCTAATAAATGAAGACTTACTTTAGTGATAGCAATTTGAAAACGCCTATGTGATGGCTGACACAAATCAACCAGCCTTCCATAAACTTTGTCGGGGAAAACACGTTTTAGGTTTTCAATAGCCTCGTTTTTCTTCCTGTTACGCTCGGATTCTGCAGTATCACCATGGGCGTCTTGCAACTGCCTAGATACTTCTGCCAACTCCGAAGTAACCTTTTCAAGTTTCTCCTTCGACTCGCAGACCTGTAGGACAAGTAATGACTGCTCACATTTAACTTCCATTTCGACTATGTATAGTCTTTAATGCAATTTCAAATTAAAAAATACCTGGTGCTCAAGCTGAAACAGGCTATTTTTCTCCTCTTCAAGCAAGTTTGCTTGCGAGGTAATTGTGTCAGATAAAACGTCCAGCCGTTTTACATTCTGTTCGATCTCATATTCTTTCTGTAAGTCATCAGAACCATAAATAACACAACTGAAAACTCAACAAACCAAAAAAATCGCAAACCAACATTTTTCACTCTCTCTTTTGCTTGAACTAAACGACGACGTTCGCACTGCAAAGCGTTGTTGTCAGTTATACGGGCCTGAACTAATCTCTCTAATTCCATTTCCACTGCAGCACATCGCTTCGTCGCCTCTTCTTTTAGAGTATAATACTCGTTCATCTAGAAAAAAGACAACCACATACAGAAAAGTAAATGAAAAAACTTGAATGCATAAAACAAATCATTTATTTCAAAACTAAGACACCGAATTAAAAGAAATCATGGTTATAAACCTGAGAGTCGCTTAACTGCATTTGACGCTGTTGAGATTCAGCAGAAAGGTTTGTTTCACACTCCGACTTCTGTTTCTCCACCTCTCTTAAAGTTTTATCAAATGTTTTTAAAGGAAAATAGTATAATCTAGTTACCGACTTGAGATGCAGAGAACTTAAGTCTTACTCATATTTTTCTTTCAACAAATTGACACTTTTTTCATGCGCTTCTGCAGATTTTTTTGCTGCTGCATGCATCTTTATTGCTGTCTCCAACTTTGTTTTCACATGAACCACTTCTCTTCTGGCTGTTACATAGCGAGGTTTCTGAGCTGTCACTTCTCTTTCCTGAGAGAATGGGTAAAAGTTACCAATAAATCATATTTTAGAGAACGCTGTTATACAGATGTAAAAAAAATAACCTGCTCTAGAGTTTTTTGTTCCAGCCTGTGCAACTCTTTTTGCAACTTCTTGAATTCCTTTTGTTTATTTGTTACAGCTTCATCACTTTCTTCCTTCTTCTTAATCAGCTCTTCCACAATTTCTTTTTTCCTCCTCAATTCCTCTGCTGCATTATCAGCACTCTTCTCTGTATGGTACAGTTGCAGTAGGAACATTTTCTGTTGTTTAGCTACCTAAAAGAACAGTTACAAAATCCGGTTTATTACATAGGACTCCCTCCTTAGTAAACTTTACAGGAACTCCACAAAACGATTCAAATTGTTGTAAAAATGCTCGAACCAAGGTTTTCTGCAGATGAAAGATGTGCTCGAGAAAAGTTATACAAAGATGTTGCTAGTCTTGCTTACAAGTTCATCTTTCATAAGCTGATATCTTTCTGCTTCGTCTTTTTCCATCTTCGCCTCTCGCTTTTCCAGCGCGATTCCACGCCTTTTGTTTAAATTCATCGCAGCGTCCTCTTCAGCCTTCATTAATTCAGTTTTCAAACGATCATATTCATTTTGAAACTCACAAGATCTGTAATTTAATTACCTAAAATTGGAAGACGACAGACAAAGGTAGTGTATAACTGAGAAAACCTAATTAAGCGGCGACAATAGAAAAGAACAAAAACAAAACTAAAAGAAAACAAAAAATAAGCAATTCAAATGTAACAATCCTACCTGGAAATTTCTTCAAAAAGTTGAGTTCTTTCCTTCGGCGTACGCATAGCAATCTGTTCTACTTGACCTTGATAAACGAGAAAGTTTTTAGCCTTAATGAAGATATTAATGCCTTCAAGTTCATGACTATACTGTTGCGGTGTAACAACCTAAAAAAAAAAATCTGAAAGGAGGTTACAGTAACATTCTAATTATGATTCAAACCTAAACCAAACAGAGGAAAAAACCTTTCCATCGACCCGATACTCAGAACTAGCACCAATTACACAACGAGTAAAAGAACGCATATTATCAGAATCGTCCTCATAATTCATAGTAACATAGCACTTATGTGCTGCGGGCTTTCCTATAGGCGCTCCATGAATTAAATCCTAAATAAAACTCTGAAAGGTGGAAATGTTCGAAGAAAACCACCTAGTAGCGAAGTAATGCGACTTACAGTTAGCCTTCTGACTCGAAGGTTACTCGCCTTTTCTCCAAGTACAAAGCAAATTGCATCCATAAGGTTTGATTTACCTTAATTAAGAATACTAATTATACAAGATTCAGTATTGACAACAAATAGAATCTGAAAGCTCTAAAATCCTTCCTGCAAATAAGGAACCATAAATATGTTTTAATAATTATTGTTATCAAACCAGTGCTGCAGACACTGAAAATAAAATACCTGAACCATTTGGCCCAATAATGGCAGTGAAACGACTGAATGGCCCAATAATGTGCTTATCTTTATAAGATTTGAAATTACTAAGCTCTAGAGAATGCAAACGACCCATTTTCAGGCACCTGTAAAATTATTTCCTATATCATCGACTGCAGTACTAACTAATAACACCTTCGAATAGCTACTCCGCACAGCACGACCCGGAGTGAGTTTTCCTGAAATCGAACCAAGCTGGTAAAACATAAAAAGTCAAATTTTTGCGGTAAAAGCTTTTGCAGAAATAAAAAAAAGGCCTCTGCACTCAACAGCTAATAGATCGAAACAGTTACTGAGAAAGACTAAAAGACAAAACAAAAAACCAAGAAATTTAATCTGCCACCGAGTTCTGAAAAACAATATTAGCAAAAATGCACAATATACCAAACAAGCAACAAAGTAAATTATGGAATTACAGAATACTGCTTTAGAAGAATTCAACAAATGCTTCTTCTTCCCCGCTTTTTCAAACTGTAAATCGTTAGCGAGAAGAAAAAGATCCCTGAATTGCCCTTATCTGCATTAGCATTCAGAAAAACAAAGGGAGTACTGCAGTGATTTACAGAATTCATAGTTATAGTTCGTATACAGGAATCTCTTGACAAACAATTTGAAAAGTTTCATTAATTTAAATAAAAGAAGAAAAAGCTGCAAATGAACTTTAACTGCAGAAAAGAAAATACTGTTGCCAATTTTATGCAAAACGGTTCAGATTTCTAATGTCTCATTAAAATTTGAAAATCTGGCAGTGCACCATCGGTATATGTTGGCAGTTCGCCCAATAGTTTATTTCAAATGTTGATAAGTATGCTGTAGAGCCTTTTTTTTCTGCCAATTATCTGGTTACCCTTCATAAACTTAATAAGAAGGGTATTTAGGTTCAGAAATCTTAAAAAGATTGTTTCAGAAACCTTTTACCATTTGTACTTTTGATACATCAAAAAAAAAAAAAGAGTAGATGTTGGAATGGTTGAAATGCTGATCGTTTGTGCTCGTTCTGAGGCTTTTGCCGCCTAAATTACTGTACTCTCGTCTTAGCAATGTCTCGTTGCGCCAAAACGCTGATGTCTGTCGCAGTGCAAGGATTGAAACAAGATAAGTTGTGAGTTGACAGCGGTCGTTGGTGTTAGATGGATATAGGGTATGCACTGGATTTATTCAGTATGTGGTAGTATTTGGTGCAATGTAATGTCAGGTACTTCTTTCTTGTGCTGTTGCGCTTTTCACTGTAGCAAAGCAATCTTCATTGCTCAACCTCGAAACTTCAGTGGAATTTTTCTGGTGGAATATTGTCACCACTTCATTTGGGTAGTACATAGCTTAAGCTAACATCGTTTTTGTGCAAGGCTATTCAAAACTTTCATGGCAACTGATTAACAGCTCTCTTTTTTTATAAACAAGTTAGAGCAGTTTTTTGTAAAACGTCCTTCCTTCAACCGAAGTCCTGCTTGTTAACTACATTTTGGTAGTAATATTTTAAGGTTTTAATCAAGCAACAAAATGCTCTTTTGGAAGTGGTTTTCAAGATGCATTTTAGTGGAGATTTAATGGCAAGCATGACTCCTTGGATCACCGTTTCGATACAAAGCACAGCTAGTTTTGTATGCTGTTTCAAAAGTTCAATTTTTCATAATAGTCTACAGTCTTAATAAGGAAAACAAACAGCACGGGAAGAGCTCCATTTCTTTAGTAAAGATTGACTAGACCGTTCTTATATGCTCCATACATTTTGAACTTTGGAGGTCCTGGATAACGCTGGTGCGTGATTTCCCAGATGACTTGGATTACTGTGCCAGAGGTCTGGATGGCACAGTTGCATACATTTTAGTATGCTTTTCCGCATTTAGTGTTGAAGAGGAAACACTGTTAAAAGCGACTTTGAATATTTTCGAGTGGACTCAACGAAGTATTGCTCAGAAATAGCTTCGTATTGAAATTATTGTTGAACTGTAGTGCCACTGAAGACTGGTTTCCAAACTGCGATTCTGCTACAGGCAAGATGATTCAAGTTTATTGAAATCAACTGTTTTTAAATCTGCATATCATTAGTACTTATTGTTATATTATCAAAAGAATGAACGAGTGAATTGGGGATGCTTTGTATTTTGATCAGAGTTGTCACAAAGGCAAAAAGTGTACAAGTGCACAAAGTGTGGCGTTAAATCTCTAGAGAACTGGCCTTCCAGCCTCTTAACCCAAAACCAACTCTGACTTCTTACCACCTCGCATTGTCACCAGCTCTTCGGCACTGGTCGGGTGAATGGCAACCGTTAAATCGAAATCTTTTTTTGTTGCGCCCATCTATAATAAAAACTGATTGTGCTGAGGATTGGCCAGTAGATCAGGGTAAAGAAAACAAAGTACTGCTTTTGAAAAGAGTACTTTTGAGAGTATTAGCTCTTACCGTAACAGCAACAGCGAATCCCTGTAACATTTCATCGGATCCTGCGCCGATGATGTGAACCCCAACTACCTGAAAATCTCTGAATAGAGAGAGGAAATTCCACGGATATAAAATATCGTAAATTCTACGACACATGTCTTGGGAGACCACTTGAAGTAAATTCTATACCTTTTCTTCATCCCCACTACAAATAATTTTCATAATGGTAGGTTCTTTGTGACTAGTTACAGCGTAATACATCGGATTGAATCTAGACTGGTATATCGTTATGTTTTCTTTGCCATATTTCCTGACTGCTGCTTCTAACAAAAAAGAAATCAAAATTTTTAGCACCTCAACGAACAACAAGTATTGTTTTACTGTTACCTTCAGTCATTCCCACGGTACCAATCGGTGGATGACTAAAAACTACGGTTGGGATGTTTTCATAAACAAGATGATTCTTTTCCTCCATATTAAACAGTCGATGTGCCAATCGGCGTCCAGCCGCGATTGCAACTAATT